GTCACAGAGAGCTCCTGGAGGGCCACAGTCCCCCAGAGCTGGGATGCCGAGGTGCCCTGCAGGCTCCACGGGTGCCCTGCAGGCTCCACGGGTGCCCGGCTGTCCCCACAGGTGCCCGGCTGTCCCCACAGGTGTCCAGCTGTCCCCACAGGTGCCTCGCTGTCCCCACGGGTGCCCAGCTGTCCCCACAGGTGCCTGGCTGTCCCCACAGGTGCCCGGCTGTCCCCGCAGGTGCCCGGCTGTCCCAGCAGCCCAGCCCAGGGGCACAGGGCAGAGCCCTGGCGCTGGCTGTGCTGCCCCCCAGCCCTGCCCACGGTCCCCGGGAAGGAAAGGAAGGGAGGAATGAGTCAGTGCTCCAAGGCCACTCATGCATGGTGTGGGTGGAGCAGAGCTGCAATTCCTTCCCCAGGAGATTACACTCCTTGCAAAGGCCTCCTTATTTATTTCTCCGTTTGGAACACAGCCATTACTGACTCCCCGACTCCCCGGCACCCGGGGCTGCCACTCGTGGGCAGGGGACACTCACACCCTCCAGCGTGCCCGGCTGGCAGCACAGCACAGCCAGGGCCACGGTGTGACCCTGAGGAGTCAGGAGCTGGCCAGCAGCTTCCCTCCTGGCCCCAGGACACCTGCAGCCCCTGCCACCCCAGCCCCGAGCGGGACATTTGGCGTGTGACAGACAGAGAGTGCCAGAGCTGCCCAGCAGGCAGATGCAGCCTGGCTGGGGTGCTGGGGAGAGAGGCAGGAGAAGTTGGGAGGATGCTGGAAGGAGCCTCAGGGCTCCTCCTGGCTCTGTGGCACTCTGTGCAAGCCGAGATGGTGTCACCCCATGTCCCCAGAGAAATGCAGGTGTAACTCACTGCCAGCTGCAGCAAACAGAGCTTTTAGTGCTGGGGACACGCCAGGACACTTCCCGGGGACAGCTGCAAAGTCCCTGCTCCAAACAGAGCCCTGGGGCTGCTGATCCCCTGCAGGAGCCCTGTCCTGGCCCTGCTGGGGGGCCACACCTCCCCAGCTCAGCCAGCGCTGGACCCGGCCTGGGACCGGCTCAGGGAAATGAGTGCTGAAGGGCTGGAGTGAGGGAGCATTCCTTCAATCTTCATTCCTTTCATATTTTCATTCCTTTGATTTTCTTTACTGCGGTTCTTGGATCAGTCCGTGCTTGATCCGGAAGCTCCGGGTGATGATCCTGTGTCCCGGGACTCTGACGCTTGTCGTCGGCGAATGAGCTGATTTATCCATGCTGACCCGTGCTCCTAGCTCTTGAAGAAAATTGCACCCAGAGTGGCCAATTGTGTTATGGTGATGAGTGTTTGGGTGGCAGGGGAGGAAGTCATCCATATCAGCAAGAGTCCAAACATGGAAGCGGCTGCTGCTGATTTTGGCTGCGAGGGCAGGAGAGAAGAGATGGAGGAGAAAGGGCTGAGAGCGACTCCCATTGCAGCTTTTCTAAAATGGTAGATGTGTTCTCTGTCAGATATAGCAAGCCTGCTCCCACTAGCAGGGTTAATAGGAAGATGATAAAAAGCCTGAGATAAGTCCAAAGAAATCCTGGGCAGCCCCATGGGCAATATCCCACAAAGTGTGGTGAGATTCAGGGCCCAATATTTTGGAAACCACATAGAGTTGTTTCCTCTGGAGAACTGAGTGGAATCCACCGCAGGGCTGGGCACGAGCCAGGCTGTCCTTTGGGGAGGGGACAGGACTGAGGCCAGCACCAGCATAGCTCACATTCAAATACTGGACTGCCTTCAATCAGCATCACCAGAGTGCAGGGCTCCACTAGGAGCAGCGTCAGGCACTGCTGAGAGAGAGAAAATCCAGCAGATGTTGTCCAGGCAGGATTGAAGGAAAGCAGAAGCACTCCAGGAAAGGTCACCTCAAAGAAAAGCTCCTCCTGCTGTCCTCTCCATGAGCTCTCCTTGCTGGGAAGGACACAGGAAAGGTTATTTCTGGGGTCTTCACAGCACGTGGCACCTGCACAGACCTCTGTGCCCCCCAGGAGGGCACAGGGAAGCACCAATGCCCCATTTCCTGCCAGGAGGTGCCCCCAGGGCAGCCTGTGGCACTGATGGGCTGCTCTGCTTTGGCACCCAATTCCTCCACAGCACCCAGTGGAGTCCAGGCCAGCATCGAGGCGTCCCCTGGGCAGGGTGACTCCTTGCACAGGTGTCACCTGCAGCTCAGAGCACATTCAGCTGGCAGGGGCTGTCCCTGTGGCTCTGCCCCAGCCCAGGGCTGCACCCACGGCACAGGCTCCCAGCCCCCCTCACCCTGTGTGCCTCGGGGCTGATCCTGCCTCTCCACAGCATCTTCCCAGCAGCACTTTTCTCATGCCCAGCATGGAACTGGGGCCTGCCCTGCTCCTGGCTCTGCTGCAGAGACCCTTCCCTGGCTGCCCACAGCCTCGGGGCTGGGCCCTGTCCCAGCACATCCCAGGGAGGAAGAGCTGTGGGGTTGGAGGAGGAGAAACCCTCATTCAGCCCTGTCAGGTTTTGCTGTCCTTCCTCATGCCAGACACCTCCTGTCTCGCCTCCCCCAGATCCCACTGCCCACACAGGTCCCTATCCCACCTCACCCCTCACACATCCCCCAAAAGCTGCCTTCCTCCTGTCTTCTTGCTTAATCCAAGCAATTGCATTCCTCAAACCTCCTCAACCCCTCTCCTGGTCCTGGTGCCACCATCCCCATCTGGGAAGGTCTTCAGAGCAAGGCACTGCTCTGCTCCCCAGACCTGCGGGGGCTCTGCTCTCCTGGAGATCCCACTGGGTTTTCTTGGGCTGCTGGTGCCACACAGGAACACCAAAGCTGGGAGTGAGCAAAATACCTCCAGCACCTCCTCAGGCCAGCCCGTGGCCCTGCTGTGCCCAGCACTCAAGCTGCAGTGAGCTGGGTCTGATGTGTGCCCCCGTCCCTGCCCTGCCTCCGCGGGCTCTCCTGGGCAAAGGGCTCCTGCAGGGATGCTGTGGCACCATGTGCTGGCACGTCTGTGTCCCTCTCACGGGACAGGCTCCTGGCACATGTCCCGGGCCAGGTCTCTGCAGCCACCACAGCACCAGGGGCCAGGGGACGAGGGCAGGTACCTCGGACAGCCTCCACTCTCATTCCTGTTCCTTTGGGAGGCAAGCCAGGCTGGTGGGAGAAAAATGATATTCACTTCCAAGAATTTAAAAGGTTAATTAAAACCTTATCAAAAATACAGCACAAGACTGACAAGACTGAATGGAGAAAATATTACAGCACTGGGAGCAGAGGATTTTCCCCACCATGGGCTCGCCCACACGATGGAGGTTTCACCATTTAACCCTTTAGCCCCTCCCAAAGTTCTCTCCATCGACTCCTTCTTTGCTGTCCAGTGGTGGAGATCACTTCCCAAATCCTGATTGGAGTCAGGTGCTGCCATAGTACCAACCCCACCCTCCCAAATGTCCCAAACCCAGGCAATCTCCTGGTAATGACACAAGGGAGGTAATAAAACATAACTATAAATCTATAAAACTTCTCCTAACATATTCACATGTTTAATTGTGGGAGTCAACCCTGACATCACTTGTGTGTCACACTGGGGCAGGGAGGGCACGCAGAGCCCTCAGCTCTGCATCTCCCATTGATCAGAGCAGGAGAGGCCGGGATGAGCAGCACAGGGGGAAACCAGGGCCGTGGGGAGGAGGAGGAGGAGCAGCTTTGAAAGCCAGGCACAGCACACGGGATGGGTGCACAGCATGGGATGGGTGCAGAGCACGGGATGGGTGNGGGATGGGTGCACAGCACCCAGGATGGGTGCAGAGCACTCAGGATGGGTGCACTGCCTGGGCCATCCCGTTCCTGGGCACTTCCCTCACCCCGCTCCCTGCAGGACAAGCTGCTGCTGTCTCTTTGTGGCCACAAGGCTCTGTCACCTTCAGCACAGGGCGGCTGAGCTGGTCCTGTCCCACAGCTGGGCTCGATGCAGCCAGCCCTGCTCACAGCTACACCAAGCCCAGCTCTGGATCCCGGGCAAAAGGCAGGGAATATTGTCACAGGAGGCAAGGAACGGGCAGGGAGCATCTCCCCTTCTGCCCTGCACAGCAGAAACTGCTTGAGCCCCTCCTCACCCACGTGAAAAACACCTTCACTCTCCTGTGAAAATGTAAAAAGTTTAATAAAGGACAGTAGAAGACAAGGACCATAGAGCAAAGGTTATGTACAGCTGGGTGCATCTTGGCACTCAGCCAAGAGCACCCTGTTACCTTCAGGGACACCCCTTATTTACTTTTTAATTAACCTTTAACTAACATTAACCTTTTAATGACATCGGCCTGCTGCATATTCATAACCATATGCATAGTAAACTTTTTCCCCAAATTAGTTTGCATGTTCCAAGACCTGTTTAGCATATCTGCTCCTTGGATCTGCTTCTTTAGAGCATGCAGATTCCTTGGTTGTGGTTTTAGTCCATTCTTATCACTTCCAGTTTTTGGGCCTTGGTCCACACTGCCTTCAGACGGTGAGTGCTGATGGTTGGCAGATCTGTACAGGTGTCCTCATCCCATGCTCATTGGATGTTATCCCATCCAAGCAGGCATTTTAACACAAGCACACTGATACCAGCCATTGCACGACTATGTCTAAGCTTAATTAGCAGTAGTAATAAAAACTGTATCTTTATAGCAAAGTTACTTTAACACTACACATAAAAAATCCATTTTAATATTTGCAAAAAGCCAATATTATAATATGTTTCTGTAACAGCCACCAGGGACAGGAGGGAGAGGGGAGGTCTGAGGGCACTGGGCAGAACCAGGGAGGAGCTGAGCCCAAAGCCCGGGGCTCTGTGGGGCTCACAGGGGACCTGCCCTTCTGAGCACCTCGGGCTGCAGCTCTCAGGGACCTTCCCGGGGACACAGGCAAAGCCACCAAAAGATGCTTTTGTTGTGTTGGAAAATATACCAAGTTTAAATTGTTGTGTTTTATAGCTTTAGTCAGGTTTGTTCACCCTTGGCACTGAACTTTCTTTTCAGAGGATTGGTCCAGCAGGCGAGGTCTGATGAGCTTAAAACTCAACAGAGTGGGAGTAGCACAGAAGGTACACAAAAGATAATGACCATTAACAACCATTAACGACCATCAAACACCAAACATCACCCCTGGCTTGTCAGAGATACCTGGTCTGGGAAAAGAGAAATAAGAAAACCAAGAATGAGAA